ACTGGATAAAGGATGCCCTATATGGGATTTCTCTGTATTATTTCTTACCGTTGCAGGTGTGTCTACCACTATCTCACAATAAAAAAGTTTAATTTAAAATGTTAACGGTCATGCTGATTCGCATCTTATTTGTATAATGCAGACACATCTAAAATATGCCTCAACTACTACCATTTCCAAGCCTTTGTCTTAAAGGGTGAACCCTAGTATCACATGAACCTTGGCTCAAATCTCAGCTTTGCCCCTTCCTACCAGCAGCAGCACGGGCACCCGCATGAGCAAATTATTTCTCTGCTCCGTGCCTCCACAATCTCACCTGGAAAAAAGAGATGGTGACTGCGTCTATTTCACAGAGTAGTAGTCATGATGTAATTATAGAACACTTTTAAAACGCACAAGTTGGGCACAGTGGCACACACCTGTAATCCCAAGACTTGGGAGACCATGGAGGAATTGCAGAGAGTCTGAGGCTAGCCTCAGCTACACAGTAGACTCAAAACCAACCTGGGCTACATAATGAGACCCTGCCTCTAAAAAACAAAAACAAAACAAAAAACAGGAAGTGGCCTATATCACATATCAATCTTTTGTTATTCCCAGTCTTTGCAGTTACATCTGACAAAATCGTTGTTCCTTGCTTTTCTGTTTTTGAACTAGAATGCAGTCTCTGACCAATATTTGAGACCCAGAAGAAATGCTATCCGTTTCATGAAATTTTCTCATCCTCCTAGTCTAAGAATTGATCTTGTCCTCCTCTCATTTCCATTCTACACAACTCTGGATGCAGGGAGAGTAGAACTCTGGACGTCAGGGACTTCCTCTGCCCTATCTCCACCCTAACTAGAATAAAGCATCTTTACTAATATGTTTGTGTTCCTTCAGTGACGAGTACTAGTTTAATTAAAAGCAACCAGCTTCTTCTTAAATGAGGAACTAGTACTTTTGTTTTAAACAAACCTATAAGGAAGGCAAATCCATCTTCATGGTCCAAAGAGAGGATTATTATCTTGTCCTGCAAAAGATAACAATGTAAAATGTAATGACTTAAAGCAGTAAACATCTGTTACTCTCACAGCTCTGTTTGCATGGGTGGTTCTTCTGGTCTGAGCTAGCTCAGTGGGGTTTGATGGTCTCTAGGATCCTCTCTCAGCAGGGTTATCTGGGGATCTTCCTATCCTGGTGTTCTCTTCTCCTTCAGGAGACTAGTGTGGGCTGGCACACATGGTGGTGTTAAGGTCTCCAACAGTGAAACAGGGCAAGTGTCAGTGCACCTGCCAAAACTGCACCCAGTTTTCCAAGGGATTTTCCACTATCATACACATGGGTGGGAGGAATTATTGCAGTGATTTTTGCAAGCAATTTATCAAAACAAAGAGCAAGTTAAGTATTTGAACCATGACCTAATTTCAAATAATCATTTTGAGTTGAGAGAAACATTTGAGTCACTTAAATTAGAGGAAACATTTGATACAAAATGGAAACTTTTTTCTTGGCTTGACCTTACCAAAAACAAACATATAGGGGGCATAGAGAAATGTTTAGAAGATATTTGTGGGACTCCATCTATTTGCAACCCCGAAGCACTTTCAGTTGTGCAGCACAGCACAGAACCTGGGCCTCTTTAAGGGGATTTTTGTTTGGATTTGTTTCGTTTCTCAGAGGAAGTTGTGGGCCCAACCTTACAGACATCAGGAATAGCAAGAAGACAGTTGGATGAGTTTCATTATTTCCCTTATTACTTAATAAAAACTATTTCTTCATGCAGTTGTCAGGCCACTTAAGATCGTGTGCAAAGAGAAGGAACACATGACTATTTCCAATCACAGACATTTTTGGTAGGAATATGGAGGTGGTGTAAGATAATGTAAACTGTGAGATAATGTCTATTAGGACCATGGCATAGTTTCTAGAAAATGTAAAGTCATCAATAAGCATTGGATTTGTTATTATTACCCACGTAGCACTTCTGAGGCAGGCACAGCCCTATGAAGCAGTGTAGTACAGTCCCTTGGTTATGTCAAACTAAGCTATTTGAGAGGTGGGATGTCTTAGGGTTCTAAAGGAGCCTCCCATTCAGATGTGACACAGTTTTAAACTTGAAAATGAAGCTAAAAGAAAAATTTAAGAGTAAAATTAATTTCTTACTATTGCACCATGTGCAACTATTGCGTATATAGCTGTAATTTGTAAGTTCCACTACACAGATTGGAACACAAAAAGAAGCAAGAAAAATGAGTGCTGAATGCTACAAGGAACAATGCTTCATTTGCAACAAGGTATTGCATACATGCTCTCGGAGAGATAAGATTTGCCCAGGTTAACTGGTTTATTTTCCCAAGATGCTAAACATTTCTGGTTCAAATTCCAATCACAGACATTTGTATGCAAATTCTCCCTGGAGCTCAATGGAACGTCCATGTGGCAGTGGCACCACCCAGAAACCTTCCCAGCATTCAGGTTCAAGGGTGTTTCTTTTGAAAGTCATGAGGCAGGAGAGATGGAGAGACATTTTTCTTTGAAGCATGAAGTGTGTATTCCAAGAGTGCATGTTTGGAGTATAAGTCATGATTCATCTGCCCTACCCCAATATCCCACTCCCATTTCCCAAGGGTCAGAGGTGACTTTGTGCTCCCTTATAAATGTGGGTGTCTGTGTTCTGAGTTCTTTAAAGCACAGGATCTTGCATGTAGTTGGAAGAGCAGTTTCAAGATGTCAGTCCACTGCCTGGTTTACAGCTGTTGGGACTGCCAAGAGGAGATGAATTACAGCAGCCCCTAAATAGAACAACATTTCACTCATGCAGAGAAGAGTCTGGAGGATCAGAGAGCAGTGGTACCCAATTGCTAGCAGGCCCCATCCCACAGACAGTGGAGGGCAATGATCTATCCTCTCTCCAATAGTAAAGGACACCATACAGTTGGCCAAGTACCACACGACACAGATGAGTAAGAACAAAAGAGAACACACTGAGCCCGTGGAGCAGAGAAACATACACCCACACAAGGTGCTAAGGCCCACCCAGGTCACATAGGATCTTGATTTCTTGGTAAAGAAGGCTTCCAAGCATGCAAATGACTGCCTTTCCCAACAGCATGTGCAGCTGGCCCAACAGAGCTAGAAATTCCCTCATCATCTTTGTTTGGCACAATAATCTGAACTCAAGGGCATTTCTTTGCTTACCGGGCATTTTTACTTCACAGCTTACAGAAGTTTACTGGGCTGCTTTGCCACAGGTTGATCTGCCTAATGCCCCACAGGAAGAGTTTCTGCTAAGTCACCGCAGAAGCAGCGGGCTTGATTCTTGTCCTGCTCCACCCTTCCCAGGTAACTACAGCCTAGGCACAATCCCTAGTCCATCCGGCATCTGGAACGGTTTCACCTAGAAATTCAAGGTACCGCAACCGATGCAGGGAGGACCATGGTGTCGGGCTGCTTTTCTCTGAGGACAGCTGTGTGTTCTGAGGCTTTGTGACCAGTTGGACACCCAATACATGGACAAATTAATCAGAAAGGAGTGAGAGATGAAACTGAAAGTAACAGCAGAAAACATCCATAAACTCAGTGCCAGGTTGAGAAATAAGGTGGGCTACATGAGGACAAGAATGTCCTCAAATGTCCTCAAATGTGTTGGCTCTTGTCCTATGCTTTTACATAACATTATAGAGTAGATCGGTGTGGCAAACATGCTATTCAGTCACACATCACTGGATGTGGTAAGAGCTGTGTTTGCAGTTCAAGATGACAGGATATTTGATATTTCTGTAAGGGCAGAGGTTGTGGGGTGTGCTGGGTAATGCTGTCAAACAGTTACAGTAAACATCTCATACAGGAGTTGTAAAATCATGTCTACAGTGAGACACATGATATAGTTTCTGGAAAAATGGGTAACACTCAATAAACACAGGATTTGTCATCATTATCTCTGCAAAATTTCTGAGGTTGGAAGATCCCTTCAGAGTAGCACCAGAGGCTCCCTTTGTTATGCCAAGCTAAGTAACAATTACATGTGCTACTGAAGCAAGCACTGCAAAGCTAAGTAACAATTAGAACTGATCTGAATCTTAGATGTCACTAAGGATGACTAACGATAGAGGAAAGGAGAAGTAATAAAAAACTAAGGAAGCACATAAAAGCACTCAATGTTTCTGTGTTGAGGAAATGGCAATAGCTTGTAAGGTCAGACATTTCTATTTTCTTTTTTTAACTGCACAAATATGTATTCTGTTTTATGGCAGACATTTCAGTATATCACTTCCATTCTATCAGCCTCTGTCTTACTCTAGCCACCACTCTAGAGACCAACTGTGCGTACGCTTTGCCCAGCTTCATGTAGGTACCATTTGACAGCTCCCTGCCCTATCTGTCATGCATGTCCTTGTTTCTCTCATCAGGAAGTCTCTGACGCTGAGACGTAAGCAGCCTACAGGAACCTGCTCAACACTCCAGCATGGCAGCCTGGAAGTACTAGACAAACTCTCGTGGTTAAACAGACTGGGGCTCCAATGGAGAGAGCAGGAAAGAAGCAGTTTATGGATACAAGGACTTGTCCTGTGGATTGCAGCTGCCTCTCTCTTCGGCCGTAACTGTTAATACAGCGGGTCCATGAGCGGAAAGGCTGCGGTGGGGAGGATGAATGTTATGCAGGGTCCCACACCATGAGCTTCTCTTTCACCTTGGCCACTTTAGCTACTGCCACTGTTGTCCTGGGAGTACTACTTGCCAGCAGTAGAGGAGGGTGTTGAGTCTCAGTAGGGCACCTACCCATCTTCCCGAAGGAGAAAGTCTGGCTTTATAGAGACATGATTATCTTGGACCCTCGAATCCTGCAAGAAAAACATTCAATGTAGTGCTGGGGATTTAGCTCAGTGGCACCGTGTCTGCCTCACAAGTGCAAGGTCCTAAGTTCTATCCCTAGAACAACAACAACAAAAAAAAAAATCCCAAATAGCAGAAACATTTACTGCACATCTGTTTGTTTTGTTTTTGTTTTTTCTCCTTACCAGTGTTGCCTCCGCCTGCCCACTCATCCAAAGGATCAGGATGCATGATCGGACAAAATGGCATTTGCACAACATTGCCTCAAACATTTTACAGCAAATGGTATCTGTCAGCGGGCATATGGAACCTACCAGTATTGCCATGTACTTGATCACTCAGAAACAATCAGATGGAAAGAACATTGGAATGTTAACTTGGCTAAGGAGCCAATACATTTCAGATTTGGGACCTGTCCTCTAGGACAGAGTGTATGTCCGGAAATGCAGAGTAATAAATGTGAAGTTATGAACCCAGAAGCCAAGATTCACGGTGTCTGTTTGTGGGGTGCTTCCCCATAACATGAGGCTCTGTGGGATCTGAGGTCTTGGCTGCTGGGGAGGGAAAGAGAAGTGGAGATGTACTGGAGTATGTAATCCAGGTTCCGCGGAAGCTGACAATACTATCAGAGGCTTTATGATGTATTAGACACAATAAACTGCATCAGAGGGAGACAGGGGTGGACCATAAAAATGTTCCACTTCATACCTTTTTTTTTTTTTTTTTTTTTTTTTTTGGACCAGGGATCGATCGAACTGAGGACCTTGTGCTTACAAGGCAGGT